CCTGGGTAACATGAGTGAAACTCTGTCTCAAAAAAAAAAAAAAAAAGAAAATGTGGTCCATAAAAGACCAAAATACATAACCATCTATGCGGGTTAACTCTCTGTAACAACACTCTTCACCAGAACAAAAATATTTCCAAGCCTACTGTTGATCTTTTTTACGATGAAATTCACACTATGAATCATTTAGTATACCAAGCACCTTTTCTTCCGGCTTCTCCACGCATTCACCAGCGTCCCAAGAACAACAAAAGAATCTTAGCAGACTATGTAAATAAGAAATGCAAGTAGGTAACAAGCATAATATTAATGTATCAAATGTTTTTAATGTATGTGACAGCCGTAAGCTTGCAATTTAATCAAGATTTTGCATTTTTTGGTTAATTCATACAAAAAAATACTCTTTTACAAAAGTAAAATAAATTTTAAAGTAATGCATTTTTTGTTTCATTCAACAGGTCTAGGTTTGTAAATACAGAATTTTTCATACCAAGACAATAAAATAAACAATAAATAAGGCAATATTTTAATCTTTGTTTATTTACTTAATTATTTATTTATTTTTTGAGACGGAGTCTTGCTCTGTCTCCCAGGCTGGAGTGCAGGGCGCGATCTCGGCTCACTGCAACCTCCACCTCCTCGTTTCAAGCAATTCTTCTGCCTCAGCCTCTCAAGTAGTTGGGACTACAGGCACACATCACCACACCTGGCTAATTTTTGTATTTTTAATAGACACAGGGTTCCACCATATTGGCCTGGCTGGTCTCAAACTCCTGACCTTGTGATCTGCCCACCTGGCCTCCCAACGTGCTGGGATTACAGGTGTGAGCCACTGTGCCCGGCCTATTCTTTGTTTTTTGCCTTTTGCTTTTTTATCAAGCTTTGAAAGCAGAATGAGTCCTCCAAATCCGGAAGACCCGCAAAGGGCTCATTTAATCTAGTAGATTGTTAAGAACAGTGGACTGACTCCCACGTTCCACTCCCTTGGTAAACAGGCAGGCTGATACTTAGGCTGTGCTAGTGAGTTCTCCTCTAGGCCTCTGGCATGTGTTTGCTCATACCAAGTGAGCTAGATGTTGACCAAAAGTCAATTTCTTTGCTCTGAAACCTGATGTGACCCTCAAATACTATGGAAACTGCTGAAACATATGTGGGAAAAGAAAATTGCTATTTCTATAAAAACTAAGTTGAATGCTTTGGAAAGACATAGGAAAAACGGGTTACTTAAAATCTCCTGTCAAATTAGGTGTAGGTGAATCAACTCAAAAGTCTGCAAAGTTAGGAGACAGGGAGTGGGGGAAGGCATTAAAAAAAATCTAGAGAACTTTGCATTCAGGTACCTTTGCTCTTCTCTAAAGAAGCCCAAACTGGAACCTGAAACTGATACATTATGGGTGTTGTTTATTACAAGAAAGGCCATACATGATTCCTCTCAGTAAACTGACACTCAAAGCAAAACAAGACTTGGGATATGCTGAAGGACTGGCAAATAAATGTCCACTCATATATTTTAAGTTAAAATGTTCAAGGTATGTACTGTTTAGTTTTTAAGGATCAAGGTGGATAAGTGGGCTTCCAAATATGGTGAACAGAAAATAAAGCAGCTGACCTATGGAGTGGCATATGAAATAAACAGATCTGAGAAAGTCCCCCTTGGCTCCTGTTCTCCTAAAATAAATCAGAATTTGGCCTGGCACAGTGGCTCACGCCTATAATCCCAGCATTTTGGGAGGACAAGGCAGGCAGATCTCTTGAGGCCAGAAGTTCCAGACCAGCCTGGCCAACATGGCAAAGCCCCGTCTCTACTAAAAATACAAAAATTAGCCAGGTGTGGTGGCACGCGCCTGTAATGGCAGCTATTCGGTGGCTGAGGCAGGAGAATTGCTTGAACCTGGGAGGCAGAGGTTGCAGTGAGCTGAGCTTGTGCCACTGCACTCCAGCCTGGGTGACAGAGCCAGACTCTGTCTCAAAAAAAAGAAAAAAAAAAAAATGAAATAAAAATCACAGAACCCAGAGCGCATATCATGGATAAGCTTGTATATAGCTTCACGTTCTTGGACTATATTTACTCACCCAGAAGCAAAGTTTCAGGAAGCAGAAACAAGGCAAAGCAATGCCACCATTAAAGCCAGAAGATTTCTATAATAGCCCTCTTCCCCATCTTTCAGTATCAAGAGTATAAACTCATTCTATCCCTGCCCCGCAAAACTGCTTATGGGAACAGTGGTGGAAGAGGCTGCCCCTTACCTTCTGACGCTGCTGAATGTTGGCCACAGTGTCAGGCTGAAAGTCCAGCTTGTCTGTGCGGCAGAGTTTCCAGTAGAGGATGACCACAATCACCATCACCACCAGCACCGGGATGACCACGCCAACAATGACCCACAGGTTGTTGCTCTGGGATTCCGGAGATGGCCTCTTCACTCTGTCCACAGCTGCGGGCAAGGAAGAAAGGCCTTTCAATAACTCCTTCTTCACTCATTTTCTAGATTGCATGTCTCTTCTATGAGAAACTCAAAAGTCCCTGACATTTCAGCTCCAGATAACTGGTTCCAGGTTTTAATCTCCTGATGACAGGAAATGTGACCAACAGAGAAACACAATATACAAGGTTACGGCTAGAATACAGCAGGGATCACAATGATACATGTGATATATCCAAAGGCACATGGCTGAATTAACACCACCACTAGGTTCATTCCTGGTCTCCTGACTTCCAGTTTTTCTACTAGCTCGCCCCTAACTTTTCACTGCAGGACATTTCCATGCCAAAACTGGTTCTGTACAACTCTGTACAAAGGCAGTTCCCTTCAAAAGTGGAGAGAAAAACAGCTATGTCTCCAGAACACAGTCCTGACTGCTGCATCAAGTACAGCAGGACTGACACCCTCCCAGATCGCATAAAGCACATGCATCTCCACTAGGGGTTTATGGAGGAAAGCCCTGCACCTCCTTCTCCCTCCCCTCACTACAAGTTTCTCGTGTTTACAAATGTTTATTAAGTGTGCTGGACACAGTTGGAAAGTTGAGACTCAACATGAACAAGCGAAGTCCCTCAAGGTGCTTAGGTCCTAGTGGCGGAAGGGGAAAATGATCAAGTGAATCATGAATAATTTCCTATCATCCTAGCGCCATACACAAAGCAAGCCAGAGTGAGGAGATACGACATGGGAACCAATGTAGCAACTGGTCGTTTTCCCCCTCAGCAATGAAAAATGACAGAGATCCTGATGTTCATAGCAGCGTTATTCACGATAGCCTAAAACATGAAAACAACCCAAATATCCATCCATAGATGAATGAATGAACAAAATATGGGATAGCCATACAACGGAATATCATTCAGCTTTAAAAGGGAAGGAAAATCTATACTTTCTGCTACACAGAGGAGCCTTGAAAACATCTTGATAATGGAACAAGCCAGTCACGAAAGGACAAACGATGTATGATTCTACCTATATGAGGTAGCTACAAAATATTCATAAAGTTTCTGCTTGGAATGATGGAAAAGTTCTGGAAATGGATAGTGGTGATGGTCACACAGCGTTGTGAATGTACCGAATGCCACTGAAGTACACACTTAAAAGTGCTAAACTGGTAGGTACATTTAATGATGTATATTTGACCACAACGAAAAAAGAAGGGGGCTGGGGTTGGTGGCTCACACCTGTAATCCCAGCACTTTGGGAGGCTGTGGCAGGTGGATCAAGAGGTCAGGAGTTCAAGACCAGCCTGGTCAATATGGTGAAACCCCGTCTCTACTAAAAATACGAAAATTAGCTAGGTGTGGTGGCACGTGCCTGTAATCCTAGCTGTTTAGCAGAGACTAAGGCAGGAGAATCACTTGAACCCGGGAGGCAGAGGTTGCAGTGAGTTGAGATCGTGCTGCTATACTCCAGCCTGGCTGATGGAGTAAGACTCCGTATCAAAAAAAAAAAAAAAAAAGAAGAAGGAAGATGATTCTTATGTTCTCTGAAATGAAGCTTCAATGTGTTCATTTGGAAACTAAATCCTAGGAAGTATCCCATAGGCACTATTCTCATTGCCCCAGCTGTCTCTCTCCCTAAACCTTTGAAACATGACTCTTCATTGAAATGGCGTTATTTAAGGTACCCGTTGTCAACTTTACAGGAAGCAAATCTTACTCATTTTGGATTCGCCACTCCCCACCCAGCTGCCACCCCCACCCCACCCCGCCTCCACTCCTCCTCTTCCATGGCCTAGGATAGTAGCACTTCAACTCCTCGGCCACCCTGATGTCCTTCACTAGCTCTCTGTTTTGCACAGGGCGCCTTATCACTCATTTAAAATGCTTCTTGTCATATAAATGGATCATCTGTGATTTGCTGTACTTCCGTGCTCATTCATCCAGTCTTGATGCCAAGTCTTGTCTCTTCAAAAACATCTCAGTTGTCACGGGCAGGGACTATGTCTTATGATGTAATAACAAAAAAGGTTCTTGGTGCTGGTTTAACTTTGGGTTTAGCCACCTGAGGGAGTAACAAGGGAGGGTGCAGGCATTCTAAATCACGTGCACCAGGAAAAAAAGCACAAATTAGAGCAGAGGCTGCATGGGATGTGGTAAAAAGCAACAAAGTGTGAAAAACTTGTATTTTTTCATCTGGGTTGAATATAGTTTATATATGTAGCTCATTTTGCATAAAAGCAACTGACAAAACAGAAGGAGGGATAGAATCAAACTGAGAAGCTGAAACAACTGGATACTCTTCTTAGTTCTTTTGGGAGGGTGGCTGTTTGTTTCTTCTTTTTGAGATACGGTCTCAGTCTGTCACTAAGGCCAGAGTGTGGTGGTATAACCAAGCTCACCGCAGCCTTGACCTCCTGGGCTCAGGTGATCCTCCTGCCTCAGCCTCCCAGGCAGCTGGGACCACAGGCATGCCCCACCATGCCCAGCTTGTGTATTATTATTATTATTCGTAGATATGGGGTCTTGCTATGTTTCCTAGGCTGGTGTCAAACTCCTGGGCTCAAGTGATCCTCCTGCCTGTCTCCCAAAGTACTGAGATTTCAGGCGTGAGGCATCGTACCTGCCCTCTTTTTATTCTAACCTAGGAAAACCCTGATGAGGCAGAATTTGATCAAACTGGGCCCTAACACCAGTGTCCCGGGGCTGCCTTTGGGCTTTCCCTGATGTTGGCTGAAGCTTCCTTCAATCGCCAGCCCTGAGATCCCACGATCTTTACCCATGTGGTTTTCAGTACAAAACTGAGGAAAAGAGGTGCAAGATCAGATCTGAAAGGTGACTACATCCTACTGTAATCAACTATTTAATGTCAAGTGCTTGGCTGGAGTAGGACACATCTCCTACAATCAGGAATAGCATATATGAAGAAACGTAGGAAATGCTTTTGTTATTTTGCTCACTCCTTTGGAGAAGAACACATCAATATGTGATCATATCTCAACTACACAAACGCCAATGATTATTTGCTTTTACTCTCCCATCATCTTCCATAAAACAGAGAATTTATGCCCATCAGCTCTCATCTTGGTTGGTCTCCAGGGACAAGTACAGATTTCACAAAAACCTTCCACTACCGAGGATAATTTTAAAGTAGTCTTTTTTTTTAAAAAAAAAAAAAAAAAAAAAAAAAACTGCCTTTATCTCCTACATGTTCTCCATAGAGAGTTTTTCTGTATTCTTTGATGCTGGATTCCCTCTAAATGTTTACTTCTCCTTTTATTGCTGGGAGCAAGTTTCACCAAGCTCTTACCAAGGCTGCTTGCAGAATCATAAAGGAAAACCACTGACACGGAAAGAGGAGTCTGGGCCAAGCACGGTGGCTCCTGCCTATAATCCCAACACCTTGGGAGGTCAAGGTGGGAGGATCGCTTGAGCCCAAGGGTTCAAAACCAGCCTGGGCAACATGGCAAGTCCCTGTCTCTACATACGATAAGAAAAAAAATAGCCAGGTGTGGTGATAGTGACTGTGGTCCTAGCTACTCAGGAGGCTGAGCTGAGGTGGTTGAGGCTGCAGTGAGCCATGACCGTACCACTGTACTACAGCCTGGGTGACAGAGCAAGACCCTTTCTCAAAAAAAAAAAAAAAAAAAAAAAAGAGGGATCTGATTCATACCCTAAAGGTAGAAAAATACACTATTCCATGTGCCTCCTTTTTCTTCACTTTTAAATACTCAAAATCTGTGTGGTGGAAAGTACTAGAGCAGCCAGGGCCAGGCAGGCAGGAGTGAAATCTTCCAACAATAATAAAGAAACATCAGAACACCTCTGTCTACACTGCAGAGTGGGGTGAGGATAGGTGGGAGAGAAACAGGATTGAGAAGGGGAAGGATCAAGGACTTCTTTGTGTTAAAAGACCCTGAAGGAAGCCAGTAAATCCAGGGTGTACCTCTCCGCTTCCTGCATGACTCACTGTCCCTGCCAATGTTCAAAACAGGACACAGAAGATTCTGGAATAAATACAGAGCAAACACATTACTTTGCCTAAGACAAAATTTATAATAATAAAAAAAGAAGTAGTAGAGGAATGAGGGACAGACATTAAAGCTGATGTAAGGCAGTATAAATCACTGTAACACCCCACACGTAAAGCCCTAGGTAGAAAAAACAGCAGTGTAGGCTAAACCTACAAGCAACTGAAATCCAAATAAAGAAGGTCTTGGTGAATGAATTTTAACAACTGGCACTTCATCATCAGGGTTTACACACATCAGCATGCTTCACATTGAGAGCTCACTGTCAGGACAAGCCTGGCTTTGGAGCCCAGCACTGCCCAGGCGACAGCACCTCAGGCACTTACGCTGGGCAATGGCGCCTTGAATTCGGTAACCCAAGATAATGGCTGCTCTCTGGAGGTCCATCTTGTTAATCAGGTCCGAAGACTTGACTGCACTGAGTCTTTCTCCATCTTGATCCTCCACAAAGTAGATGAGCTGTACAGGATTGTCATCTCCCTCCAGCCTTGACACATTTACCACCTGAAAGATAACAGAAACCATTCACGTTGCAGGAGCTCATATTTCTAGATGATCTCTCTCAGGTCACTGAATCCTGACTGTGTCACTCAGGATTTATTCCAAATCTCATAATAAGCTCTGTAAAGCATCCGGGGCCCCAGAATCACCACGGTGCTCTCTGCTGATGGGAAGAGGGACAGTGGAGAGTTCCTCTGTGTGGAGTAGCAGGTTGCTTGATCTCACTCTGCATCTTCTCTGGGGCAAAAGGGCAGGGAGGATGCACAGAACCGGCTGGTGAATCCAGGTGCTCTAGAATTGTCCCCAAATCTCAGACGTGCTGATCACATCGCACCATCCTCCCAACATTAACCGTGGGGTTAGGTACTTCCCTCATTCTCTGAGACTATTGATGGTTCTGCCCAATCCTTTCTTTTTTTTTTTTTCTTTTTTAACAGGAGGAAGGAGGGTTTATTTGGCTGGGACCAAGGTGGCATAGTTGCCTAACAGCCAAGCTCCCCTAACAAAGGAAGGTTCCGTCTTTCTTGAGTCTACTGATACTTCCCCCTCATTCTTCCAGGGTAGGGCTTCTCAACCTCAGCTCTACCGACAATCCCTTGATGTGGGGAGCATTGTAGATGGTTAGTGGCATCCGTGCCCTCAACCCACCAGTGCCCCCACCCTGCACGGCCCAAGGTACAACCCAAACATCTCCAGACACTGCCAGATGCACCCTGGAGAACAAAATCACCCCCACCACTACTGGTCTATGGACAATAAACCTCATAAATTCATAATCTTGTGGGTCAAATAATACTTTGATTCATCCCAAAACTTCTCTCTCTCTGTTGTTAAAAGGCAGTCTTTTTATACCCTTATTTAAAAATCTGGCACACTTGACCTATAACACCTTTTCATTTTGCTCTATTTCTCTTAACAATATGTAACAATTTTATTGTCCCTTTAGACTCTAGGAAAACTCCAGACTTCTGTCCTAAGAAAAGGATCAGCGATGGCTCCGAGCTCCTTATTTTACAGATGCCATTTAAATCTTTGGTCTCTACATTTGCCATTGGCAAAATGCAGCTGCTACTTCTCTGTCCACACATGTGGATGTGTGACGCCGCCCTGTGCTCTGGAAAGAGCTGTTGGACTCCTCCTTCAACATGGGAAGCTTCTGGCAGATGAGCAGTTTCATGATTTCACTGTGAACTTCTTCCAGATCATGTCTAAAGATCCTTAACAGCACACATCCAAACCCTCTTCCCTCAACAACCTGTTCTTCATGCTTCATCCTGAGAAGGACTCATTGTCCTGCCCTCAGGCTGCTGTTTCAAAGCCAGTCAGGAGACTGGCTACTCCCTCCCTGACAATGGCGTTGTGGTGATTAACTTTTCTTTTTTTTATTTTTATTTATTTATTTTAAGAGACAGGGTCTTGCTATGTTGCCCAGGCTGAAGTGCAGTGGCTATACACAGGCTCGATCCCACTACTGATCAGCACGGGAGTTTTGACCTGCTCCGTTTCCGACCTGGGCCGGTTCACCCCTCCTTAGGCAACCTGGTGGTCCCCGGCTCCCAGGAGGTCACCATGTTGATGCCAAACTTAGTGCGGACACCCAATTGGCATAGCGCTACAGCCCAGAACTCCTGGACTCAAGCGATCCTCCCACCTCAGCCTCCCGAGTAGCTGGGACTACAGGCACACGCCACCACGCCTGGTGTAATTAACTCTTTATTAGCTTTTAGAATGAAATGCTATCAAAGGGCTACTGAAAAGGAAGTAGATTACATCCACCTGTCTCTCTACCCATGTACCTACTTATTGCATTTTAAAAGTTCTAGGCCGGGCAACGGTGGCTCACATCTATAATCCTAGCACTTTGGGAAGCCGAGGCAGGCGGGTTGCATGAGGTCAGGAGTTCAAGACCGCCTGACTAACATGGTGAAACCCTGACTCTACTAAAAATACAAAAAATTAGCTGAGCATTCTGGTGCATGCCTGTAATCCCAGCTACTCTGGAGGCTGAGGCAGGAGAATCGCTTGAACCTGGGAGATGGAGGTTGCAGTGAGCTGAGATCACACCACTGCACTCCAGCTTGGATGGCAGAGCCAGACTCTGCTGCAAAAAAAAAAATTCTAAGTTCTAATAAATTTATATGTACGGTTTCTTCTTGTAGAAATCACAACCCCCGCAAACCCAGTTGATACCCACCTTGATGAAAGATTCTACAAGTTTGTCTACTGCTGCATTTTGGATGTTTGACCCCCTCTAACTCTCCATGTTGAAATGTGATCCCTGGTGTTGGTGGGGGGGCCGGATGGCAGGTATCTGAGTCAGGGAGGCAGGTCTCTCATGAATGGCTTGGTGCTGACCTCGAGGGAATGAGTTCTTGCTCTGCTAGTTCCTGAGAGAGCTGGTGTTAGAAACAGCCTGGCACCTCCCTCCCCTCTCTCTCTTGCTTTCTCTCTTGCCATGTGATTTCTACACTGGCTTCCCTTCGCCTTCCAGCAAGAGGGGAAGCAGCCCCAGGCCCTCGCTATGTCATTGGCACTATGCTTTTTGTACAGCCTGAAGAACCGTGAGCCAAATAAACCCTTTTCTTTACACAGTCAGCCTCAGGTATTCCTTTATGACAACACCAGTGGACTAAGACATCCAGGCGGAAAGTGAGCCAGGAAAAGCGAATCGCAGTGTTCTCTCTAGACCTATAAGATTCCTATCTGGAACCCTCATTACCATGGTATTACGGAGTCATCATCACTTTTCTGTTTGATTTTTAAATTTATCTTCTGAGCAAAATCACATCGCTCTAGAAATTACAGAGCCAATTGGAGAAATGTTGAAAAACATATGCAAAAAAAGACAGAATAAAAATGAAAATCACCTAAAATTCAACCAACCAAAGAAAATCATTGTAAACACTTTAGCATTTTTTTCTATACTTTTTCTCCATGAATTCTATATTAACATTTGGATTACATGGCATAAATACTTTTGTAACCTCTCTTCACTTGAGCTTTGTTGTTAGTGTTTTTTGTTTGTTTGTTTTATGAGAAAGAATCCCACTCTGTCCCCGAGGCTGGAGTGCACTGGTGTGCTCTTAGCTCAGTGGAACCTCCGCCTCCTAGGTTCAAGTGATTCTCATGCCCCAGCCTCCTGAGTAGCTGGGATTACAGGCACAGGCCACCATGCCCGGATCATTTTTATATATTTAGTAGAGATCAGGTTTCACCTTGTTGGCCAGGCTTGTCTCAAACTCCTGGCCTCAAGTGATCCACCCACCTCGGCCTCCCAAAGTGCTGGGATTACAGGTGTGAGCCACTGCGCACGGCCTACTTGAACATTTTTCTTTATCATTCACTAATTTTTTTTAAATGGCTGCATAAAATTCCAACACAGAAAGATTTACTATAATTTTATTTACCCATTCCCCAGTTGCTGGATATCTAGGTTGTTTCAACATTTTCACTTTTACAAATTAAGTTTTGATGGACAGCCATGTACCACTGTACACAAATACTTGTCTACATCTTCTTGTTTCATCACTCTAAGTGGGAAGAGAAGCAGAGCACGGCTTATAAGCAATCTACCAGACGGCACATTCGCCTGGATAGCCTGGTTAACTTTTCCAAACCTGCATGCCTACTTAGGGAGCTTGTATGTCAAATTTAGCCCCGTTATATATCCTTTTATGGTGTCCTATAAGAGTTTTATGTGTATATGTGAACTCACACCTAGGCCTTAGGCTCTATGAAGCCAGGAATTGTTGAATGAGGCAAAGCTTTTATAATTCATTCTAATTTGTATTCTTTTTTTATACTTATTTAATAATTACTCCCAATTGTGATTAGTTTTTAAATTTCTCTGTAACTTACTGCATCTGGCAAAGGAACTATTTTAGAAATCTAAGAACTACATTTCTGGGAGGGGGTAATCATGAGAGGGACACACTTGGTAAAAGGGCTAGAGGACAATGATGCAGTTTGAGGCAACATGTCCACACCCCCACCCAGCCACCCACAGCCAATGTCATTTGCATCTTTTTCTCTAATGCCTCTAACCCACCCACCTCCTCACCCTGCCTGCCAGCCCACACCCCCTGCTTCAGAGTTCTACCCGGGTTTCCTGTTTCTGAAATGCCATAGCTCTAAATATCCCATTTTTGTAGCTCAACAAGTCAGCAATTGGTAAAGAAAAAAATCCACGTAATTCATATGGAGATGGAAATTAATGACAGTCCCAACCTCCAACTTCCTGTGAGTATGAGCATTTCTAAATGGGTCACATTTCAATTCAAACAAATCTGTCTTTTGTACCTGTCTCCCAGTTTACCAAGTAAAGAAGATTTAGGGTGATATGATACAACCAGGTGTCTCTGGTGGTGGGCACCTGTAGTCCCAGCTACTCAGAAGGCTGGGGCAGAAGAATCGCTTGAACCCAGGAGGTGGAGGTTGTAGTGAGCTGAGACTGTGCCACTGCACTCCAGCCTGAGCAACAGAGCAAGACTCTGTCTCATGAAAAAAGAGAGAAAGAAAGCAAGCTCAAGTGAAAAGAGGTTACAAAAAGATGTACGCAGTATCATCCAAGTGTTAATACAGAATTCATGAGGAAAAAATAATGGAAGGAAATATGCTAAAATGTTTACAGTGATTTTCTTTGGTTGATTGAATTTTAGGTGATTTTCGTTTTATTCTTTACACATCTTTTACATGTCTTTTTCAAAATTTCTCTAATTCGCTATGTAATTTCTAAAGAGATGTGATTTCGCTCAGAAAATAAATTGAAAATCTTAACCAAAGTGATGACTCCATAATACCATGGAACAGAGAAAATGAAGTGGTCAAGCAGAGGGTGGCATATTTCCCTCTATCTGGTCTACGGTCTCTTCCAGTCGAATGATACAGCACTACGGTGCTATCAATAATACGGACCATTCTATCAAACAGGCTACACTTCTGTTAATTAAAAACTACTGTTTGATAAACGAGGTCCTATGATAGTATGGCCCCAGTCGGACAATTCTGCTCTGCTCCCCAAGGTCTACTGTTATCCTACTACTTACTAAGGCCTTGGTAAATATTTGTCTAGACGCTAGTTGAACTGAAATGCTGCCAGATTCACCTGCTACCCAATATAGAAATCAGTCGAAATCAGAATTTTCTCATGGCACTTCTTATTGGCATAAAAATACAGGGTTTCCGATGGTGTGTGCACTCACACAAGCTCTCCCTCTCCTTCTCTCCTTCCCCTCGTCCTCTGACATGGAGTACCTGCACCACACTGTTCCCCGCAGCTACAGTGGCCCTTCTCCACATTCGGCGTCTGGTGGACACCTCACTGAGCAGCTGGGCCAGCTTGCGTTCCATCTCGGCTTGAAACACTTCATTCTGGAGCTGCTTCTCCACGACACCCAAGAGAACTACATTTAAAAGAAAACACATGCGGCACCCAAAACAAGTCAGCAGTAAAAAAAACGGGGTGTGTGTATGTGTGTGTGTGTGTGCATATGAGTTTGAAATTAATGCAAGATTGCCACAAAATGCCAATCCCTAGACAGGAGACATTAAAAGGAGACACAGTGATCAGGAATGGGGAGGGTCCAGGAAATGCAGCCCATACGTCTTATCTAAGCTCCAAGCTCTCGGTGTTACCCAGACTGGCAGCCAGAAGTCCCGGGAACTCAGCACTGCAGGAGCTCTGGCGCGAAGGACGCCTATACAAGATCAAACATTTCGTCTGCACTTATCTCTCAACACTTCTGGAATTGGTGTGAGTTCATTATCTTGTCCGGAGACTTGGACTCACAAACTAACTTGAAAAAAGGAAGCCTGCCCATCTTTAGTTATCTACTTCAGACAAGATTATCTCGACAGACAATCACTTGCCAGCATGGTCTAGGAGGAAGGAACATGTGTTTTTCAACTAGAACTGGTTTAAGTTCTTTGAGAAAACCATAAGCAAGTTACTTAATTACTATGGAAATTATCTGAAAAAGACCGCTGAAGGCACCACGCAAAGAAGTAGGGCCTTGACATGGGATGCTGTGTGTTCAGCAAAGAGAACTTGCAAGGTACAGGAACCCCGTGAATGGTGACAATCACTACTCCACATGCTGTCTCGTGCCCAGCTAGTTCCTGTGCTGCATGCATGCTGGGCAGCTAAACGTAACTACTGTTCAGACTTGTGTGCACTACATTAGAAAGCCTTTAACTGCAATGCCATACCTCTAAATATCTGACCCACTCCCCTAAGACAAAAAAAGAAAAAAGCTTCCTAGGTGCCAAGCCACCCTGCTTGTCCTTATTAAACTAAACAACACTTTTAGGAAAAAAAAAAAAAAAGAGAGAGAGAGATCCTTGCTTCTGAACCTCACCCTGTTTTGGGTCAGAATATTGTCAGTTCCTGTTAGATTCTGCCCTGAACTTGATGTATGAATTTTAAAGAAAGTCAATCCTTTTTGTTCTATAGCTCAGTGGGATACATTACCACAGCCAAATTTGAATCCCTTTCTCATTCATTCTTTGCCAAGAATTTAAGGTACATTTTGCCCTAAATTTAGGAAACAGGAAAGGCAGCATCATTCTCAATACGCCTGCATAGACTGTATATCCTTACAGCACCCAAAACATTACATAAGTTAAACATACCTGTTCTGACCCAAGAGGACTTCAGCAACTGAGATAAGTTGAGCTGTGGATACTGGAAGGCTACAAAAGGGAAAGAATTAGGGAAGGAGAAAAAAAATCTGTAAGAAAAAAACCCCAGGTCTACAACAAAGTCACAACACATTGCCTTTACTGTTTAGCTCTAAATATGAAAGAACAAAATGTCAGATTAGTGTGAGGACATGGACAGGAGCAATTTCTGAACACATTTGTCTCAAGAACAGAGAGAGAGAGAAAGAGAAATGAAGGGCTGGCTCCAGCCACATCATAGGACACTGCTGCACAGAGAGGTCACCTGCAAGATCTCCTTTGAATGTCACTGTTCCACAGCAAAGCATGTTCACACTGTGTACCCCAGAGCCTGGCTTTCCCAGCCATGTCTCAGGGTAAAGTGACCACGTGTTGACTTGCCCCGGGCCAGTTAGTGGTCTCCGCTGTCCGGCAGACTCCTTGCAGGCATATATGCACCATGGACACTGAAAGCTGCTCTTGGTAAATAACAGCTTTATCTCTGTCTACTTTCATACAGAATAACTTGTAAAGTTCTTCCTTTTAATTAACAATATGCTGAAATACATTACAAATCATTAGGCCATTTGGTTGTTTCATTTTGAAAAAGAATTTGAATTTTTTTGGCCTGACTTCAACTCTGGAATCTACTATATTTTTTTTAAATAAATAGCTCCCCTTCCCCACCCCCCACCCCCACCCCACCCCGACCCGGCCGCCTGCCTCCATTTGCATTGTGAACCTACTTGCTTTGGCCAGGAAGAAAGGTTTCATGTTTCAACCTTTTTTTTTTTTAATTTACACAGTAAAAGTCACTCTTTTCAGCATACAGTTTTTACGGGTTCCGATAAATGTATATATAGTCACATAATCATCACCACAATGAAGATACAGAACAGTGTCATCGCCCCCCAAAACACTGCCTTCTGCCCCCCTTTTGTGGTCGAGCTTTCCCTCTGCCCTTGAGCGCTGACAACCACAAATCCATTCTCGCTCCCTGCAGTTAGGCCTTTTCCAGAACTCGCGTACTTTTTAATAGCACCCGTTTATTCTCCAGGTAATAAAGCCAGGCACAGTGGGTAAGCAGGGTTCTGCGGACCCACCTGGCTTGAATCCAGTTTTATCAGATTTATATTCTGCCACTCAGTCAGATATTTCACTTGAAAAAAACTTGTCCAGGTGGAAATACTCCATATGATACTAAAATGGAGAATCCATGCCATTTGCATGTCATTACACATTCATGATGCCCAGAGTGAACCCTAACGTAAACTATGGGCTCTGGGTGACGACGATGCATCAACGCAGGCTGGTCCCTGTAACGAACGGACCACTGTGCTGGGGGATGCTGACAAGGGGGGAGGTGACGAATGTGCGGAAGCAGGAGGTATATGGGAAATCACTCAACCTTCTGATCATATCTGCTGTGAATCCAAAACTTCACTAAGAAGATCAAGTCTTATACTATGATTCTAAGTGAAGTAATTCAGGAATAGAAAACCAAATATGATATGTTCTCACTGATATGTGGGAGCTAAGCTATGAGGATGCAAAGGCATAAGAATGATACACTGGATTTTGGGGACTTGTGGGGGACACTGGAAGGGGGGCGAGGGATAAAAGACTACAAATATGGCGCTGTGTATACTGCTCGGGTGATGGGCGCCCAGGATCTCAAAAAAAATCACCACCGAAGAACTTACTCATGCAACCAAATGCCACCAGTACCCCAACACCTTAAGAAAAAATAAAATGATGTTTTAAAAATCAAGTCATTTAAAAACTAAAAAAGTTTTCTGAAGAGGTCCACCAACAAAAATGCCTGCCACATGACCTCCCCAGCGTGTCCAAGGGGGCCGTACTCACGCTCTGCAATCTGCAACACCGGGTATCCCAGATAGAAACTGAACTCCACCACACTCAAGTTCCTCAGCAGCTCGCTCACTTCCGACCCATTCAAGAATCCCTGTGCGCTTCTAACTGCAAAGGTGATGTTCACCGGGCCCCGCCGAGGAGTCACCCTTGAGGAACTGACGGTGATATTCAAGATCTGAAAGAATGAAGCCGGAATAAGCTTCAAAAATAAAACATTCTGCTGAGGGCTTAACCCTGATCTCTCTCTCACAGGTCCTCTGATTTTTTAAAAGGAGGTAAAGCGTTTAAAGGAAAAATAACTGGCTTTCTAACCTGGTTCCCTTGTGTAAGAGCTTAAATGCTCAGTTTACTGAAAATGCTTCTTATATTAAGTGATGAACTGAGCACATGTACAGCCCCTCCTACCCCAAATCCCACTGAAATAACAATAAGCTGAACAAAGGGGAATAAATCCACACCTGCACTGAGAATGGAAGAAAACCAGTGATTCCGTCAAACCTCTGGGGGAGGGAGAAAGGATGGGACTGGATTGATATAAACCAGAAGGGAGGGAGCCAGGATCCAACACACACACAAGCACGGGCTGCAGCAGAGCCGAGGGCCACGCTCCCCGAGAGGACCAGGAGGGGCTCCGTGGTAGAGATCAGCAGGCACAAGACCAAGAGCAGGCTCCATGGTGGTAATCGGTGCAATTAATCACAAGGCTGTGCCAAAGAGCTGAGTCCATTGCCTTCCTCCTCGGTCCTTCCTAACTGTCACGCCCAGGCCAACACAGAGGTGCCAGCAGCAGTCAGGCCCTCACCCAGAACAGGCCAAAGAACCGCTCCTGGGGAAAACACACCCCTGCCTAAGAGGACTATGGCAGGTCTGGGCCCTAAGCAAGAAGGTGAGCAGAGACTAAGACAACTCCCATGCACACCACAGACAAGGAAAGAAAATGAATGAAAACACAGCTGGCTCTGCCCTGAGACACACACTAAAGTGCCCCGTCCCCCGGGAACAGCCTCTTTATCTTGATGCTGGAAGGAGGGGGTTCCCTGTCTGCTTGCCTCTGACCACACACCGCACCCAGAGAGAAGCCCACCCTGACATATTCTGCCCCGGACCCAGCGCTCCGATGAATTTTCCCACCAGGAGATGGAGCTTACATAGAAAGATATCCCACAGCTCAAGGGGAGAGCCGTGCCAGCTACTAAAATGAACAAGTTGGTTCTTCATTCCTAAGAACAAACCAGCAGTCTCCAGATTTACAGAAACGAACAGCACAAAAGCAAAGCACAGAGATCAACACACAGAGCAAGGACTGCAGAGAAAACAGGAATGACTCAGGGAACAGGAGACGCATTTTAACAATTCTCATTAACGTCCTCAGAGACTTTCAAGGCAATACTGCAACATCACAGGAAAGCCTACGATGGAAACAGAGCAAAGAGCAATGAAAAAGAAGCTAAAAAATTCAATAGACAGATTGCATAACATAATAGACACAGCTAAGGACTACATTAATGACTTGGAAGACAAAATTTAATAACTGTAGAAACAGAGAATAAAAAGAGATGGAAAATATGAGGAAAAAACAAGAAATATGGAAAGCGGATCCAGGAGCACCCAAATCTATTTTGACATCCATTTTGGAAAAAGAGAGGAAAGAATGTAGACGGAAAAAAACCAAAGAAATATAAAAACATTAGCAGTTTCCATGCAATACGTACAACGCCTGTTCTTAGTAGCTGTATGGAAACAACAGTATGGGTAGGCACTCCCCCACTGGACATTTAGGGTGATACCATTCCTTTCTAGGTAATTCTTGAATTTCCTGAATATGGTCACGTCTCTTCAGCTCACCATATTTGAGTTCCCCGGGTATCAGCTACTCTGCAACCTTCAAAGCTGCTCAGCCCATGCACGCTATGCTGACCCTACGCCATAGGAAGAGATCCATCCCGACCCATGTAAACTGGGTTTCCGCCACTGGAGGGAATAAGAGTTAAGTACATCCTAAATTAAACGATGTGGAACAATTTCCCCTTTAAAGGCTAAAGCCTTCTGTTCTGCGTTCAGTGATATTCTCACCTGCACCGTGAGGTTATACGTTCCCTGGTGGTGTTTTCTCACTTCAAAGAGAGCTGTCATTAGACCTTTCTCGATGCGCTGGGTGAAGTTGCAGAAGCCGGTATCCACACTCGGGGGCACAAACTGAAGTACTGAAAAGAAAAACAAGCAAAGTCCCACCAATGAGGTGTTCGTGCTTCTGAAGTATTAACAAATCAAGAGAGAAACAGCATCTAAATCAACTAATTCATCCACAGCAAGGGATTAAGTACTGTGATGTACCATTTCTACTTATTATTGCATGGAAATGTAAAAAGCAACTTTGCAGCAAATGAAGACATGCAATGTGAAGGTGAATGGTATCATTTTAAAATGAAAAATATCTAAGATAAGAATGTGAGCACCAAAAGATGCAAGGGATAGAAACATTTCAAATGTATATAAATTCATTGTAGATTAATTCTTAAGTATTTATGGGTGAAATTACATGACATCTGGCATTGCTTTAAAACACTCTAGTGTCCACAAAAACATTCATGGGGGATAGATGAAACAAAATTGGTGATGCTGATAATTTTTTTAAGCTTAATGGTGGGTATATGTAAGCTTAGTATGTTATTCTCTCTACTTTTGTAAATGTTTGAATATGTCTACAGTGAAAATTAAATACATTTAGAAATTACTGTTAACTGCCAGGCATGGTGGCTCATGCCTGTAATCCCAGCACTTTGGGAGGCTGAGGTGGGCAGATCATTTGAGATCAGGAGTTTGAAACCAGCCTGGCCAAAATGATGAAATCCCATCTCTACTAAAAATATAAAAATTAGCCAGGCGTGGTGGTAGGCACCCGTAATCTCGGCTACTCAGGAGGCTCAGGCAGGAGAATTGCTTGAGCCCGAGGGCGGAGGTTGCAGTGAGCAGAGATCACACCATTGCACTCCAGCCTGAGCAACAGAGCAAGACTCTGTCTCCCAAAAAAAAGAAATTACTGTTAACTTCATATACATCTTTAAAGTCTTTCTCTTTTAGAGGCATATAGGCTGAAATATGTGTGGGTGAGATGATACAATGCCTGAGATTTACTTCAAGATAATGCAAGAGGAGGGGAAGCAGAGGGTAGATGGGGGTGTGGCTACAACAAGACTGGCCAGGAACAGAAAAATGATTGAAGACAAGCAATGAGTACATGGTGGTCTGTTAAACTATCCTATGTACTTTTGCATATGCTTGAAATTTCCCATAATTATAAATACTTTTTAAAAGTTAAATAATAAGGTCAGGTGTGGTAGCTCACACTCATAATCCCAGCTCTTTGGAAGGCCAAGGCAGGAGGATCGCTTGAGCCCAGGAGTTTAAGACCAGCCTGGGCAACTTAGGGAGACCTTGTCTCTATAAAACATAACTTACGTTAATTTTTTCTTTTTTTAAGACGGTCTCACCCTCTTGCCCAAGCTGGAGTACAGTGGCACAATCTTGTCTCACTGCAGTCTCCACCTCCTGGGTTCAAGCAATTCTCCTGCCTCAGCCACCCAAGTAGCTGGGATTACAGGTGTATGCCACCATCCCCGGCTAATTTTTGTATTTTTAGTAGAGATGAGGCTTTGCCATGTTGCCCAGGCTCATCTCAGACTCCTGACCTCAAGTGATCCGACCACCTCAGCCTCTCAAAGTGCTCAGATTACAGGCATCAGCCATCGCACCTGGTCTAAATTTTTTTATTTTTTGTAAAGACAAGGTTTTATCATGTTGCCCAGGCTAGTCTCAAACTCATGAGCTCAAGCTATCTGTCTGCCTCAGCCTCCCAAAGTGGTGGTACTACAGGTGTGAGCCACCACACCTGGTCTAAAAAAATAATTTTCAAAAAAATTAGCCAGTCATGGTGATGTACACTTTAAGTCCTAACTATTCAGAAGGCTGAAGCAGGAGGATTGTTTGAGCTCAAGGGTTTGAGGCTTCAGTGAGCTATGATCACACCACTGCATTCCAGCCTGGGTGACAGAGTGAGATCTTGTCTCTAAAAATCATCATCATAATCAATTCTACAAAAGATTTCCAATATTTTTAAAATACAGAAAAATAAAACGAAATTCTTTTTACAAATCAAAACAACTCTGTTGAGTTGGTCTCACCTGTTTGAACTTGGAACCTGGACTCTGGCACAAGGAAAGAAGGTTTCACAGACAAGATTAAAGGAGTCTGGTCACGCACAAGCTTACTGTTTATAAGCACATTTATGACCGATATTGCCGTGTAAACGAAAGGACCAGATGTTACCAGGAAAGTGAAGTCAGTAAATAGTTCATAAACCTAGGGAAGTAAGAAATACAAAGACAATTCAAACTTAAAGGAAGCTGTGTTAGAAAAATTAAAAATTATAAATAAACTAAAAAACTGGTAGTTTCAAATGAAGGGGCAGCGCATCACAGATCATCAAAATTTCATTTTAGTTACTGCTTTTACTCTCTGTCAATCTTTGCAAAAACAGCACAAAATTATGAGAGCAGCAAGAAGGAACGGTCAGTAACGAGAACTGAATAATGAGTTATAGGGCATTCAAGGTGTTTGTTGTGTTTAAAACACATAGAAAGGGGTACTTACTCTACTGAGCAGCACTGTCCAAAATAAATATATAAGGAGCCACTCATGTAATTAAAAAATTTCTAGTGGCCACATTAAAAGACATAAGAACAAGTGAAATTAACTTTAAATGCATTTGACTTAATATATCTAAAATATCATTTCAACATGAAGTCAATACAAACATTAGTAATGAGATACTCTACACTCCTTTTTCACTGCATTTTTGAAGTCTGTCGTCTACCTGTCTGTCTGTATGTATTTTCCCCCATAGCTCATCTCGGTTCAGACAAGCCCCATTTCACGGCTGCATCGCCAAGCACGGGCTGCGGTTCTGGTTCTGGATGACTCTGCTCTAGATGGACTGCGGCTTTCTGGGATCATTGAGAAGTGGTATCAGCATGAGATCCAGTCTAAAAGATTTAGAGCTCCATCTCTATCCCACCAAATGTCCAGAAAGATGCACCTATACTCACTCTAACATCTAACGTAAACACGAATCCAAGTCCTTTCATGTAAATCAAGGGAAGTAAAATCACGTAGATGATTTTACTGCTGCCTCTGGTCTGAGAGCCCTTTGTTCCAACTCTGCCAACACATCCCCCAAAGGACTAACCCTGACCTCATGTGGGATCAGGAAAGGCCTTCCCAATGTAGTGACAGTGGAGTGGAGATCCAGATGATGAGCAGGAGTTACCCAGGAGACAGGAAGGAAGAGAGAAAAGAGAATGATTCCATGGCCATAATCACCTGCCTCTAACCTGGGGCTCTCACATCAGCCCCAGTCCCAACAGACATCATACTCCTGAGCCTCTGGGACTCACCTTCAGTTCCACTGCACGGTTGAAGTGAATCCTCAGTACTTCTTTGATTGCTGTAATGATGTACTCCTGCACAGCTCTTCTGGCCAGCACTACGAATTAAAGCCAACCACCAAATGCATTTTAATGTCATTATGAATCACACCTCTGGACCCCAGCACTGTGCCAAAATGCATTAGCAGCTCCAAAAGTCTTTTTGTAAAACAAAGGCCAGACCAAGACGGAACAGGAGTTAAGGATCTAGTTGCTGCTAACTACCTGGAGAAGAACAGCAGTGGGGACTTTGAAGACACTAGGTCAACTCTGCATAGCATCAGCTCAACACACTAAGAAAACCCTCTTTGCCCCAGACAGGTTAGATCAGGAATCAGCAGCAATGACCCAGCCAGGGGACAAGGGGCTTCTAGTTCTCATTTTCACCTGGACAAATTCCAGGCTGCCTCTTGGTTCTGTCCCTGACAACAAAACAGGAGGCTTTAAAAGCTCTCAGAAGTCACATTTTAAACGGCCTTAAGATGTTACTCAACAAAACCAGAGGTCTCCTACCCTAATGTTTCAAGGCAAAACGTGAAGAGTTTTTACCACTAATAATAAGGGAAAAAAGATTTCCACAATTCCCACATATTAAAATTTTATGTAGAAAATAAAATTTCTCTCATAATCAAAGTCTGGTTCTATTTAACTTTCTTCACATTTTAAAAGTTCCATTTAAAAATCTGTACTAATAAGCCTGTCTCACTGTTTAGTAAGCTTGTTCTTCTTTTCCCCAATTTTTGTCTCCTCTTCCATCAACTTCCCATAATGCAGAATTAGAATATACTTGATACTGTAATTGCTTTCCATTTCCTGATTTTAATTTTTAAAACTGGAGACAGAATCACTCTGCATTCTTCATTCTTTAAAAAACAAATATTTAAGTTACATTTGATTGTTTTTTCCTATAAATCAGTGATCTGAATGTTTTTTAAAGGTGGGTGGGGGCTTCTTTATTAGTTTATGAGGCCATTGAAACAAATCCACAGCCCCTAACCACCTTGCTGAGTCATACCAGCAGCCAATTCTGCATGGCCCACATAGGCTCCAAGTGGGTTGGACTATGCCATAGATTTGAAGGGGAAAGAAAAAATGAGTAGGAAGGAAAGGGGAAGAGTGGAAAGAAAGAAAAATGCCTTATTTAAAGAAGGAAATGAAGAGGGTGGGAGAAATGAGGGAGGAGGGAGACAGGAAGGAGGGAACAGAAAAGGAGGAGGGAGGGAGAGGCGGGGGAGGGAAGGAGGGAGAGAAGGAAGGGAGGGAAGAAGGAACGGGGGAAGGGGAGAGGAGGGGAGGGGGAGGAACTCAAGAGCTAAGCTTGGGGGAAATAGAGGCAGAATGAGAAATCAGAAACAGAAAATCCCTAAAGAGGAAAGCAGGAAGAATACATTGTAAGCAGCCCCACACAGCTAAAGACATCATTGGTCCAAATGTCACTCTGCAAAGTCCCTACAGCCACCACTATGACCTCCACCTTCTCTGGGGAATCTGAGAAAGATATAAAACTGCAACATTAGGATATGAGGACACGAGTCTTTGGGAAAAGGGATCATCAGCAAACAACCCTCTTACAGATCTTTTCCCAAATGTCTAGTTTTCCCAGAGCTAAGAGAAGAGAGGCGAGAGAGACTTCCAGAGGCAGCACAGGGTCAGAAAGGCCCTGGGTGGAAGCGCGGCTCACGCCTCCCAGGGCGTGTGCAGGCAAGTGCTTCCTCCGCCATCACAGACCCCCAGCACCCACAGTGGCTCTGCTTTACCATCACAGAACGCACACGAAGAATCCTTTCAGGGGTACATGGAGTCACCTCAACCCCTTCACCATACTCTCTAACAGATAACTATGAAAAGGACAGCAAGGTCCAATCTAAATGAAGATGAGAAATGAGCCGTTACTTCCTCTGGGTCAAAGGTATCACCGGGAGCAAATGATGGCACTTATCTCTGCTAAAAGGCACAATTTAATAGAATGGACACTTACCCGCAACTCTGAACATTTACATAAACTGTTCAAGTATACTTACAATGGCTGAATTTACTCCAAAAAGCTGTTAAAAATACATGGATACCTAATAAAGGCACCAAATGTCATTAAGCGCAAACCACATATGAAAGTTAAATCCAGCTATGAGGACTCCTAAAGAAGCTTTCAATAACTCTCTTAATAAGCTGCTTAACAACTGACCACTTTGTAACAATTTTGTACCTACTTTGTAATAATTTTGTAAAAATGAAGAAAAGTATCATGTGCATGAATAATTCTTTCCCCTCCTCCCTGGACTGCTCTCATCTTGAGAGTCAAGTTCATGATTTTGTTCCAGCTACATTTCCTAGCATAATTACCTGCTCCTCCCAACACAGTGCCTCATCTCCAGCCATGATGACTGTCTCCTTCCCCAGAAGACACTGTCTCTTCATCCTCAAATGACAACGTTCTATTCTTCCTTTTGTGGGAATCTCCAGTTTCACATTCTTCCAAACCCATCCCTGATCATCCCAAATAGCCACTCTTGGAAACTCCACGGTAACCACCGTTACCCTGTGGCTGGCTCAGTACCGTCTTCCTGGGCCCTGAGCTGCTCAAAGGACGGCTTGTATTTTACCCATCTGTATATCCCTAAAAGCTTCCAGAAGCACCGCACACATACTAAGTGCTCAATCATCCCTTGTCACATGGAATAATGAATGTTTCCCTTTGGGATGTAGGGAGCAAAGGCTGTCCCAGCCTCTTTCTCCAAAACCATTCCCCCAGTACGGTGTTGATCACTGACACGTACCTGCCATCAGGATCCTCGCTCCCACCTGCTTGCTCAGAGGGACGTGGCACTGTGACAGTGAGCAAAGGCTCCCAGCCCCCTGCCCCAACCACAGGAGGGAAAAGACCCACCGTTCTCCTCCTCTTCCCCCTCCACATTCTCTGTTCCTCTCCTTCCTGGTCCACTCCACCCCACTCCTCTACCCCTTCTGCCATTTTTGACTCTTTTCCATTTCTGTGCTCCACTCCTACCAAAATCAACCAAGCTGTGGTTCAGACACAGTCATGGCCCTCAAGACCACACACACCTGTCATCTCTTGTGAGGAGAAAGGCGGAGACCCTGACCAAGCAGGCCACCATCGCAGGACGTTACCCTTGAAATAAGTCTACCTGTCAGGCATGTCCTTAGGCGGACGCCAGCTTCATGCAGCCACGGCAGCCATGCCACTGCAAGGGAAGCTGCTGGTCAGTCTGCTAGCAACCCAGGCTGCCGGGGGAGGGAGCCACAGGCTGAAACTGGATTCAGAGGACATTTAGTTACTCTGTTTTTCTTTTCTTTTCTTTTCTTTCTTTTTTTTTTTTTTTTTTTGAGATGGAGTTTCACTCTTGTTGCTCAGGCTAGAGTGCAATGGCACAATCTCAGCTCACTGCAACCTCTGCCTCCTGGGTTCAAGCGATTCTCCTGCCTCAGCCTCCCGAGTAGCTGGGATTACAGGTATTTGCCACCACGCCTGGCTAATTTTTTTGTATTTTTAGTAGAGACGGGGTTTCTCCATGTTGGTCAGGCTGGTCGCGAACTCCCGACCTCAGGTGATCCACCTGCCTCGGCCTCCCAAAGTACTGGGATGACAGGCATGAGCCACCACGCCCATCCTCTACTTTTCTTTCCTCAGGACCAAAGTGCCATTTACAGGGACTTATGAGAGCAAAATGCAGTCTGCTTTCAAAGAAAAGTAAGGAGAGTAAATGCATAAGAAATTGCAAGGGTTACCCTTACGTAGCTGCCCAACTCATTGATTGAACTAAACAAAAAAGTGTTTTGCTTAAACTATGTCATCTATGCACCTACTGGGTTATGGCAGACAAAGATCCTACCAAGAACTTCCAAGGCTTGTTTAGTTCTTGGATTTGTTCTAATATTTGTTCTCCTTGTGACTGCTGACTAATAGGCATCATCCCGTGTGTGCTCTGATGTGGCAGGCGTGGTGGAGTGTGCTGCAGGCACTAATGCATTTATATCTGAATATCAGCCCAACGAAGCAGGTTTAACTAAGCCCCTTGTTGAATGGGTGAGGTAGCAGACGATTAGAGAGGCTCAATAACTGTCCCGAGAACTTGCAGGAGGTAAGTGGAGGAGTGCTACCTGGGAGTTAGCTGAGCCCAGCGCCTCTGCTCTTAACCGCAAAGCTCCAGGCCCCAGAGGCACTGCACACAAGCTCCTTAGAAAGACCGCCCACCCCAGAGAGGCAGCAGGAAGCTGGGCCTTACCAGTTGTGATCAGATAGGCATCAGGGACTGTGATATCACAAACATATGGCGGCTTGGCGGTGGCCAGTGTTGGCGTGTCGACTGTTGCTTTGAGAGTAAAGGCAGTCACGGGATGCAGGGACGGCAGGGGAGGAGCCGCGCTGCTCTCTGAGGGGCTCTGACTTGGGGCGTCGCTCATCAGCATGGAGTCGAGGGGACCAGCAGTGGCAGCACCGGTGCTGGCTGGGCTCACTTCCGTGGAGCTGTTCAGTGGCACCTCTGTGGGTGTTAGCAATGGGTCCACGGTGCTCAGCTCTGTGGGCAGAGGGAAGGGGGTCGCTTCAGAAACAAACGAGGACCCTGCTGGCGGGTACGTGTCAGTGATCAACACCGTGCCAGTGGGAATGGCTTTGGAGAAAGAGGCTAGGACAGACGCGTGACCGTCTGTAGCACTGATTTGATCGTCAGGAGGTGTCAGAGTTGAGAACAAAGAAAACGCAGGTAAAATGGGCGTTGTGTGGACAGTGGTCAATGGCAAAGTTGCATGAATCCCGGCAGTCAAGATGTCAAAAGACCCAGAGCTGGGGGGCACCAGTGTGGTGACTGCGGATTCACAGGAAGAGAGTGAAGACTCAAGATAGGAGGTAGTTTCAGTGAAAGCTGAGGTAAAATGAGCTTCTGAATCTATCAGTGAAACCATCGACGCTTCAACAAACTCCAGAGAATCAGAAGGGAAGCTTGACCATGGCGACGCTTTGGAGAGGCTAGGTAGGAAAGTGACGGTGTTTAAAGGCAGCTCAGAACTTGGCTGCAGCTGCGAAAACTCAAGATCTGTGGAGCTGGGAAGAGACAGCTGAGATGACTGTAGATCACTCGAGTGGAACAATCTAAATGTCTCAACCAAGGTAGAAAAAGGCTGAGACATGAAGGGGGACAGGTCACTTGGCATCAGAGACAGAGACGCTTCCGAAGGTGAAGAGATGGAGCTACTGAGTTCCAGCGGGGGCGTTGAGAAAAAGCTGGATGCGAAATCCAAAGCACCTCCGGGTTTATAATCGGAAAAACTGGAAGAACCTTGGTCAGAGAAAAGTGAAGACTCCACTGAAGGAACCACGCTGTAAGGCGTAAAAACACTCGGGTCTCTGACGGCAGGCGATGGTGTGTTTTTGTTAGCTACGGCAGAGAGAGATGAGTCAAGGAGAATGCTGGTGATGACCGAGACGAATGTAGTGGTCACGCTGGACGGTATCACCTGCGTTTCCGCAACAGACGAGGAGCCAGCAGCAGAATGGAGTGACGCCGGCACAGAGAGGTGGCCATGCGCAGGGGGAGCCTGCGTGGTTGTAACACTGCTCATATCTACCTCGGCGGAAACACCAACACTCATCTCTGAGATTTCCATGGATCTGGAAGAAAGTGGGACCACAGGTCTGGAGGGGAAAAGCGTATTAAACACTGGAGGGTCTTCCTCAAATTCAGAGAAGTCTGCTACGATGCTACTCATTAGAGAGATGCTGCTTTCTTCCAGCACGGTCACTGTCAGGGTCTCTGCACCATCCCCTGATCCCACATCTTTCTCCACGAGGCTCGTGGCCAGAACGTGCTGAGGTGAAGCCACAGTGCAGGCTGCGCACCAAGTGTATGGTCTGAATGAGGACACCAGGCTCAGGAGGGGAGTGCTGTCCACGGCACTGGAGAGAGCTGAATGGCTGAGCGATTCTGATGTCTTGCTGGAATCACTAGGGAGAAAGGGCTTAGAAGAAACATCAGTTGGTGGAGCAAAAAAGGACACAAATGCAAGAGAGGTTGAAAGCAACGCAGAATGTGTCCTGCCAAATCCAAGGGCAGTGTGCGACGCAGTCACAGTAGAGTATGTTCTTGGAGAGGTGGTTTCTTCTAGACTTTGACTCAACACAGTGGTCACATCAGGGTATCTGCCTGTACTTGTGGCCCAAACCTCCTCTGGAGGCTGTGAGACCTCTCCCAAGGAGGGAAACGGTCTAGTAATGCCATTGCCTAATGGCTGCGACATTAAAGACCAGGAGCTTAAAAAAAGGGGGGTTTCCACACCCTCTGTTAGGGAAGCCACCATCTCTGGCAGAGTCCTGCCTGATAAATGACTGTAAGCATCAGTAGGATAAAGCACCAAATTCCTGCCAGGAGTTGGAACAATGCCCTCAGAGGTGTGAAAAGCTGACCGAAAGGCGTGGAAATGACTGGCGGACTCAGCATATGCTGCTGGTTGTCGCGTTGTGTTCTGCCAGCCCGATGTCACTTCTTCATCTTGTAAAGAAACCATGGGTAATGACGGAGTGAGCATGGGTTCCAACGCTCCCCTGGGCAGCCCCGGTGGGCTGACAGTGATATACTGTATTGGAGAAACCATCCGTGGAGTGGCCCAGTGAGTATCTGGCAGAAAGTTATCCATCTCATCGTCATCGACGGCCACCTCATTACTCGTCACTGACACGTAAGTTGCCACAAAGATGCTGTGAGCTGCTGTACTTTCGGTCTGTTTTCCTTGGTTAAAAAAGGCTGTATCAAAAGTAGTGGCAGATGGCGGAGCTGTGACATGGAGAGGACTGCTGTGCTGGGACTCTGGTGTGGTTTCTGTTAAGGCCACTTGTGCAGCGCTGTGCCCAGTGCTTTTCTTCAGCACGAGCTCCACGGAGTATAAGGAAAGGTTGTGCTGTTCCGGAGAGAGCTCATCTATCGGGAAAATCAGAGCTGGGTTAGTGCAATGCATTGGAAGCCACGTGGCTAACGTTTTGTTTCAGGCATGAGAATTTACTCATCCAACAAACATCCATTCACTGTAAATATCCATGAACCACTGTCAGAAGTTAAACAGCTAGCTGGAAACCAGAAATTGACAGAATTACCATCAGGACAATATCTGCAAATATTCCTAAACTTGGCCACTGTTTTTAACCTAAGCTGTGTGTCTTTGGGGGTGCGGGGGGGTGATTACACATTTACATAGTTTTTCCCACAGAACCATGGGATACCAGAAACAGAGGAGGCTGTTTAGTCCATTTTCTCTCATTTATGACATGAGGAAAGAGAGATTTCCCAAAGGTAAATAAATCAATTTCAAGACCACCCAGACAGAGTGGAGCTGGAATCTGAATATAAGGCTGCCTTGACTCCAGAGCCTGCGTGTTTTCTCTTCCATGATAGAAGCTGGCTTCTAAGAGAAATGAACACAGCAACTCATTACATCAGTCACTACCTAAGTAAGAGGGCTCCCTCGTTCCCCAGCTGTGCTCCCCAACACAGTGGCTGAGGCTTCTACATGAAGGCCCCAGGCTTCCTGCAGTCCCAGCTTCCATCATTTCCTGCCCCTCTCTCAGGCCTTCCCAGCTATGCTCTGGAACCTGGCAGTTCCCCAAACCCAAACACCCTGTGGCCTCCACGGCTGCGCACATTCTCACCGCCACCTGGAATGTGCTTCCCTGGTTCTCTACCTGGATGGCTCCTGCTGGCCCTTCAAATGCAGCACAGATAGGAGCTTCATCCTCAACGCTCTAAAGCTGGGTTGGCGCCTCGCCCTAGACTTCTCCCTGTCCTTATCATGCCCACCAAAATGAACTGTCTGCTCACTAGATTCTGGGCTTTCTAGACGGGCACTGTTTACCTGCTTCCCCAGTGCCCAGCACAGTAAATGATCTATAGTAGGAGCTCAATCAATAACAGTTCGATAAATGAATGGAATCCAAGGATTATCCCAACATCTGTTCAAACGTGTTTATTCCTTAATCTTGTGACAGCTGACATTATCATTTAGTAACCTGAGGCCTCTCCACCTGTAATTCAGATACAACGTAACCTAGAGAAACAGGACAAGTGACAGCCCAGCCACTGATGAAAACCCAGGGCCCAGGGACTGTCCTCGGCAGCCCAGGCCGGGGGACTGAGCAACTATCGCAATCCATAACAACATCTCATTTCTCTAATCCCAGCAGTCTATCAGAACGTATCTGTGTGAAATGGTATAAGGATAGTCTTGAGTTCACTCTATTTTTTTTTTTTAAGTAAGTCATTTCTATTCTATTTCTAGCAATATAGCAGACTAGAGATCTTAAAACTCTCTACTTCGGAACATTTAAGATTACTTAAGAAAAGTTTGAAAACCATCTTCCAAGTGACTGGATGGCCTGCAAGACAATAAGGAGAAAGTGCTGAGTGCGGGAATAAAACAGGAGCTGCATTAGGGCAGAGACGGGGGACCCAAGGCAGGTACTGGACCAGTTGGCCTGCTGCTTAGGCCACCGGGGACCAAGAGACAAGTGTTGGCCTAGACAAGGAGATAAGAACCCAACTGAAGACCATTTTCCAAAAGTGGAGGCGGGAAGTGTCATAATCTCAGAGAAAGAGTGAGTTAGGAGAAAATACGTCCACTTTTCAGAAGACGGCAAAAGCAGCTACTGGCTTCTAATACAGTCTGACTTGAGAGCACCCTGGACTGACTTTCCCTTTTCCCTGTTGGACTCTCCTCAGTCTCTCGCTTCTGCTCCTCAGGATCATGGCCTAGAATAAAATATGCACATAAACCCATGTCTCAGGCTTTGCTTTCTGGGGGTTACATCCAGGTTAAGACACTGCTATGACTTGTATTATGTGCTCCCAATATTCCTATGTTGAAATCCCAGCCCCCAGGACCTCGCAATATGACCATATTTGGCAACAGGGTCAGTGGAGATGTAATCAGCCCGGATGAGGTCATACTGAAGTAGGGTGGGTCCCTCATCTAATATACTGATGACCTCATAAAAGGTGGAAATTTGGGAGGAGCTCAGTGGCTCATGCCTGTAATTTCAACACTTTGGGAGGCCAAGGCGGGTGGATCACGAGGTTAGGAGTTCGAGACCAGCCTTGCCAACACGGTAAAACCCCATCTCTACTAAAAATACAAAAATTAGCCAGGTATGGTGGCACATGCCTGTCATCCCAGCTACCTGGGAGGCTGAGGCAGGAGAATCACTTGAACCTGGGAGGCAGAAGGTTTGGTAAGCTGAGATCACGCCACTGCACTCCAGCCTGGGAGACAGAGTGAGACTCCGTCTCAAATAAAAGTGGAAATTTGGACACAGACATACACAGAGGTAGAACACCATGTGAAGATGAAGGCAGATATCATGATGATGCATCTACAAGTCAAAGAACATCAAATATTGACAGCAAATCACCAGCAGCTAGGGGAGGACCCTGCAGCAGATTCTCCCTCACAGGCTTCAGAAGGAACCCACACCTTGAACTTGGACTTCTAGCCTTCAGAATGGTGAGACAATAACTTTCTGCTGTTTAAGACAAACAAAGGAAAAATATACGTCTCAACTTTGACTTTGTATAGCTATGGTACGAAACATCGCCCCTGTATTACTTGTATGGTCCTGGCAACTGTATGTTTGAGTCATAATTTAAAGTTGACCAGGTCTCTAGCACCTGTCAGAAACTAGCATACATCATGCCCAGAAGAACACACTCACAGCCTGGTTTCAAAGTATTCCTGCAGCTAGAGCTGCAGAGCACAGAATTAGAAATTATAAAATACATAGGAAAGCAAAGTACTGTGAACAAAAGTCAAGAGAAATCCCATAAAAAAATATTTTTAAAAAAGGCCAACTAAACTGAATCAGATCTATAAAGACTTTAGATACTGGAATTATGAGATCCATTTTTTAAAGTTCTATACAATTCATTTATAATAATAAAGAGAAGACTGAAAACATGAGTAATGAGTAAGAGACTATAAAAGTCGGCCAGAAATATTTTTAACACATTTAGAAATAAAAATTTTATAATTAATAAATTTTAAACTCAATATACATGTAAAACAGCAATTTAGACACAGCTGAAGCAAGAATTAGTGACCTGTGGGATAGGTCTGAAGAAATTACTCAGAAAAGGGCATAGGGAAACAAAGAAATGTGAAATATTAAAAAATGAAGTTAAGAGACATAGAAGACAGAATAAGACAGTCCAACATACATTTCCTCAAAGTTTTAGGAAAAAAAATAAAAGGGAATAGGGTAGACATAATATTCAAAGGCAACATGCTAAGAATTTACCAAAATTAATAACGGACATGAACCATTCAATTCAGAAAGACCAAAAAAATCCCAAGGAGAGTGAATTAAAAAAAAAAAAAAAAACCCATACTTATACACATAATGATATCACAGATTAAAGACAAAGAGAAATTGTCAAAGCAGTCAGAGAAAAAGGAAACAGCAACTAAACTAAACTAGCAAAAGTAACTGCCTCACAGAATTAGAAGCCAGATGACAATGAAACAAAATCCTCAAGGGCTGAGAGAAACTATCTCACATCTTAGAGGTGAATAACCAGGAAAACTCTCTATCAAGACATTTTCAGCTTAACGGTGGTTAAACCAACAGAAGACCCACAGTAACGGAGCTTCTAAATAAGGATACCCTTCGAGAAGAAGGGTTATTATCTCAGCAAGAAGATCTGAGAATAGAGAATAAATCATAAACATATGGCCAGATGTGGTGTATCACACCTGTAATCCCAGTACTTTGGGAGGCTGAGGCAGGTGGATCACCTGAGTCAGGAGTTCGAGATCAGCGTGGCCAACATGGTGAAACTCCATCTCTACCAAAAATAAAAAATTAGCTGGGTGTGGTGGCATGCACCTGTAGTCCCAGCTACTTGGAGGCTGAGGCAGGAGAATTGCTTGAGCTGGGAGGCAGAGGTTGCAGTGAGCCAAGATTGCACCATTGCACTCCAGCCTGGGCAACACAGCGAGACTCTGTCTCAAAAAAAAAAAAAAAAAGATAAACATACGGTTAAATCTAAACAAATATCGATGGTATAAATGAACAGTGATACTGCTATGTAATTTGTGAGTTTACAAAAGACATTATTACATGGAATTAAAATAGTTATGCATAGAAGCTATAAGAGGGACAGCCAGAGGTATTATCGACTCACTAGCAGAGCCAGAGATCAAGAGTTAAGACAAAATTCTGTAAATAGATTTTTGTTTCTGTATACCAAAATTTGTAAATAATATTTAGTGCTCTAGATAAAATATTTCTAGCTGGTTCTCCTAGCATTTGAAAGTCACCAACTTAAACCATATATAAAATGCTTAAAGGGTCATATTTCTTTCTCCATCATATGAACTTTTAAAATGAATAAACAATATAAGAAGGATTTTTTCGTCAATATTTTAAGCTGTTTCACAGCAATACCATAAGGCATGTTGTCTTCCACACACCCCAGCTCTAGGATTCCTTGCCTAAGCGCTTGTATCACTTACCTGTCACATCCTGAGCACAGGTGAAAGAAAACATGATACTTATTATGACCACAGTGACCACAGTAAAATGGCAGCCGTTCTTTTCTACAGCAAAGGCTTACAAGTTATAAATGTAAGAAGTAATAACATCACAGTTCTGCCAAATCAGGTGCCGCAGAATTCTGAACGTTTTCCTAAGGATAAATCATTTTATGTGTCTGTTTTAAAACTGCTATGTTATCGTTTGTTTTGAAATATTAGATCTGAACAAGGAGCAAGTTCTCTTTTAAAACAAATCACAAACGCATTTGGAAGTGAACTGGAAGACTGCAAGAGATAAAATAACGAAGAAAAGCAATGTTTAGTGGCGAATTTATGAACCTGGGTATCTGATGCAAGCTAGAATTAAATCAACTCTGCCTTCTAAGGACAGGGAATGGGG